TTTCTCTCCCCCCTGAGGCGTTCGGCCCGGCGTGAGGCGCCCGCGCGCGACGCAGCTCGCGGGTGGCCCCGGGCCGGTGCCTTGTGGTCCCTGCGGGGCCCGTGTTGGCCCCATGGCCATCCCAGGAAACAGTCAAAACGGGCCGAGCCCCATTACTGCTGGGCCAACACCTCAGCTCAAAATTAGTTGAAAGCAGAAGTGTCTTTAGGAGGAGTTTGTGAAGATACTCTTCAAAGAGGCTTAGAAAGAGGAAAGGGATCCTCAAATACTGTAATTTCCACAGCTGTTTTTGTGAGGGTCTGTTTTAGTTGCAATAAGACACTGAAGAACACACAATCCGTTTTGGTCTCTTAGTTCCCCTGTAGACTTTCGCATTGATCTTCTGTTGCACAGAGTTTAAAGACCTGTCAGCCATGAACTAAGGAAATGTTCCTCACGTGCCTTTTAAATTAGCTAGTAAAGCAATTAAGGATCATCAGATGAAAGCTATCATGTAACTATCAGTTACGAATCAGTTTTTATCAGAAAACAAGTGCTGTCCCCAAGATGCATTTCAGGCCCAGTATCATTAGAAATTCATCCTGGAAACAAGTTAATGTCAGAGAGGAAATCAAACAAAAAGTCTATTTGGCTCAAAGAAAAATGTGTTTGAATAGAGGGTATTTCTCCTTGGTTAGGTATCATGAGGCCATCCTGCTTAAAGCAATTATTTGCACCAAAAGTAACTACTGGCTGCTCTTTCTGCTTCAAAATGTGATTGTGAAATGAAGAACATAAACTCACGGAGAACTGAAGAAGGTTATGAAGAAGATGACATGTGAATGAGAAAACAGCTTATTGAGTCCAGGGATAGCTACAAAAGTCTAAATATTTCCCCCTGATTTTAAGCATTGCTCTATGTGTCTTCTGGAAGCCAGAGCAATGTTCTGCACTGAGCACCTACAGCTATCAGGCATTTTAAGTTAAATATTAAGCTTTTCAGGCCATCTAATATTTAACTTTAAGCAGAAAGAATCCGGGGACAAGCAGGTTTCATCAGGGCATTTTGAGATGTGGTTTCCTTTCATCTACTCTTTTTAACCCAGGAAGATGCCGCAATGCTCTGTACGCGCGGCAGGCAGCTGCGCCGTTCTGCTGGCCCCGGAGGGAGTACAAACCCTCGGGGTGACTCCTAAGGGCTGAGGAACTTTTAGATAGAAAACAGGAAAATCCTTTAGTCTTTGGGGGACTTTTCAACATAAGCTAACCACAGGATGTACATATGGATAAGCTTGCACGTAGGATTAATGTCCTACAGCAGTCTTAATGTTCATGAAGCAAGGGCCTAAAAGACTGTTCTAAGAAATCGCTTTTCTTTCCCACACATATGACCAAGGTACAATAATAAGCAGTAATTGATAGTTACATGGTAGTTTTCATCTGATGATCCTTAATTGCTTTTAGCTAATTTAAAAGGCATGTGAGGAACATTTCCTTAGTTCATGGCTGGCAGGTCTTTAAACTCTGTGCAACAGAAGATCAATGCGAAAGTCTACAGGGGAACTAAGAGACCAAAAAGAAAATTAATTTCCATGTCAATACTCCCAGGATCTTAACCAACAGACAAAGCCTTTCCAAACAGATACTTAGAAAGAAGCAGGATGGCCTGGGTTTGTCTGGTAACTCGTCACATTTCTTCTGATGGGACTGCAAGCTAAAGGGAAAAACAGCAGGTCTATTTTGTATGCAGCTCCTGAAGAAGGTCACGTAACTGAACTTTTCTCCTCAAGCTTCTATTCTTAGTGTGAACTTTCACTGACTTCTCTGTTGGTGCCTTGTTTATTTGTAATTTGTTAGGTTGTACTACATGTAGGAAATGGACTTCATGGCAATAAAACCGAAGCCCCTGAAAAGAATACTCATGGACAGTCAAGATCTGGGGGAAAAAAAATACATTTCCTGTGCGGCAACTATCCTGCAACAACATTATAAGTCCAGACAGCAAGAATAGGAAATGACAAGCCTGGAATTACTAATAATGATGAAAGGAGATCAGGCTATTCCATAGGGACCATGCGTATATAAAAGTATAACTCTAGCCAACACAATAAACCTTCAAAGCACGAAATGTTAAT